CGCTAAACGGGGACAACAACGAAAACGACAAAAAGCTAGTAAATAGGTCTAATAGAGAGGAGAAGTGTGACGTCACGTTGTCATGGTAGCAAAAATTCTGGATAACAACAATGAAGAGCTTAAGCAAGGACGACGGCGAAAACAAGAAGAACGGCAAAAACAACGACTTTGCATGTGCATCACGGTTTTTTCTGGCTACATTTCTTAGCGGTCGTTGCACGACTGCGACATATGGAACTTCCTAATTTCACCCGCCCGCTCTATGGAGTTGGTCAACACAGCACAAAAATTTTCCTTTTCTTAACTCAGATACGGTCCTTTCGGATTCAACCCCAGAGAATTTTGTCAACATTTAACACATTAAATGAAACTGAATAAGTCCGATGAAATTTGAAACAGTGCGAATTTACTTAGTTAAGTGACGTTTTTGGTTTGTTGTCTGATCCCAAAATTTTGCTACTTTGCCAAGTGGGGTAAAGACTTTAATTATATACATACTGAGAAATACTCACCAAAAAGTTGTGTTGTAAATTTTGATACGCAAATGAGTTCTAGCCGATCAGAGGAGTGAACTATAGTTTTCACACGTGAAAAAAAAAGAGACGCCCAATCAGAATCGCGAAAGATGTTTTTTCACATGTGAGAAAAATGATACGTCCAATCAGAAGCCACAGAGGTGTGTGAGTTTCGCGCCAAAATTCCCTCCTTTTCTTGCAGCTTGCCGAGCGCCGCTTCGCACACATTCGAGGAGAAAAGTTTTTCTCAAAGAGTTTTTTCTCGTTAAAAAAATGAAAGACATTTCAGAAATGGAGTGGAATAGTTTCGATTGTTTGTTTCACTGTCGATAAAGGAAACTGTGGAGAGCTGGCGAAACAACAGCGGAAGGGGAAAAACAGAACAAGACGTAAGCTTATATTGTGGTTTTTGTCGGAGCTACTTTGTCTTCCATTTATAAGCTTCAGCTTATATTGAAACCGGCTATTTTACTTAAATTCACTCATTTTCAATTGTACATTCAGAACAGCTAAGATTACTTGTAGTTCTTGGATTACCTCATATCCTTACCGTCATTTATGTTTTTCAGAAACGTTTCTACTAAAAAGCTGATACTTCGTTTTCATTGTTATTTCGTGGTGTGTAGCGGCAAATTTAAGCACTTTGGAAAGATTTAAAATAAAAAAGCCACCAAAATGATGAATGTCTCAGTATGTATACAATAAACACAATACCTCATGTAAAGTGCTTCCTACGGTATATACCCACTCGTTGTTTTTGTATCAGAAATCGAACGAGTGAGATTTCTGATACAAAAACAACGAGTGTGTAAATACCGTACGCCAGCACTTTCTATGAAGTATTCTCTTTCTCCTCTCTATTAGCAAAAAACAACAACAACAACAACAACCTTGCACTTGCGCAGCACACTTTTTTGTACATTTGTTTGACCATGGTTTGCACGACTACAATGTGAAACTACCTAACTCATTTTATCTTGGAAAATGTCGTATGTGCTCACCGATGTTTTGTCGTGTTCCTGTTCACTTTTTTTCTACACTGCCGCTCATTTTCACCATGTTGGCCGCTTTTTCTCATTTTCTCATTTTCTCACCGCCAATTTCTATGTTTTTCCTCCAACGAAATTTGTCTGTTGTTTTTTGTCTAACGCTTTAGCTTTTTTGTCGACGTCATTGAAGACTTTAAAATTTAGTCGGACTTGAGTTCGTTGTTGGCTTTTCTCTCGTCTAAGTCCGGATGGACTTTCTCTCTCTAAAAAGTCGGTGTGGACTTTAGGTTTCCCGCCGAAGAAACCCGTGTTGCGTTTGCCATACCTGCTGATTGAGTTATTTTATATTGGTATACCTGTGGTGAGGAAGGGCGTGTGTACACTCACGTGATTATTTATGCATAGTGAACCAAAATTCTTACCCATGGTGCACCGCTGCGCGCGTGAGAGCTTCGCATAAAATGTTTGTGGTGAACCAAGACGTCAAAAACGCCAAAATAGACCTTTGTCACGCGGCAGCCATTTTGTCTCACGAGATTTAAAAAGCTTTGTTTATGCACAGCTAGCCTTGTAGAACCTTAACCTTCTATTGGGGCATGAAGATTTTCGGAGGTTTCAAGCTGGAAATTTTTTGCCTGATCTGAATTTGTCTGCAAGAAAAATATTAAAACATTATAGCGTCTATCCGCTGAGCAAAAGTTACAGAATCACAGCTTTCAACCTTAAACATTGGGTCAATGAACATAATTTAATTTATTATATGAAGCAGATGGAGGAGAGTGTTTTACTGGGAACTAAACCACTCGTAGATTCCATACGCCACTTCATCCGGGACCCGAGTGGCGTATTTTCCGTATGTCACCTTTGTGAGTGTCGTATCGTTCAATGACGTCACGATTCCCGCCTTTTGCTTTTGTTGAATTGGTTTCTCCATATAATAAAAAGAACATTACACGTTGGCTCGAAGATATGAATTTTATGTTCGAGTGGCAAGAACAATATCTCACTCGTTCGCTTCGCTCACTCGTGAGATATTGTTCTTGCCACTCGAACATAAAATTCATATCTTCTCTCCACCGTGTAATATCCTCTATATCTATTGCGAGCGTAAAGTCACGGCATTGCTCAAGCATTTTGCAACGGCAAAAGATATTTAAGTCCTCAGCCTCGCAGATGCCTATTTCCCTTCGTAAACGATCGTTGCCATTTATAACACGCGATACCACCATGTTGGTAACCAAGCCTTTAGTCATGATGTAATATGTTCCCTAGATTAACTTACAACAAGAACGCTCTTGATAGGGCAAGTCTCGCTTGTTTGGAGATTAGATAACAGATAAGGAGGCGATTAATTCTACGCGAAGCAGGTTTTTTTCGCTAAAAGGTTTCACTTCCCGCTTTAGCGACGGTCGAGTATTCTTCAGAATATTTAATGAATATTTTCTTCAGAATATACGCTTGTACAAATACAAATCATTGCTAGAAAGTAAAAACGTAATGAACATGGCGCGTCATTTCAATCATCGCCAAAAATAAACCGCATGCTCATCACAAGACTCATTTTCACACAATGAAAGTTTACAACACCCGACCAGTCTATAGCTTCTCCATCGAAGTTTTCCGTAAAGCATTCGCTTGTTCCAAAGTAATCAACGCTTTCAAGCAATAGAATTCGTGGACCGACCCGTTCCGGGAAAGTTCGACATCCCTGCATCAATTTTTCCTAAACTTTCTTCACAAAATAGAGCATGGCGTTGTGACAGCTGGTAGCAATTTCCACACTCAGTTTCCACGATCTCCACTAGTAACGCCTGGGACCATGATTCCCCTTTTGGCGCGCACACAAGCGAGACTAACTACCTACTTTTCTGATCTATGTTTTAAAAGCTTAGCTAGTAATATATATATTTTTTTCCGGGGAACAAGTTCCTTATCTCAACTCAAAAGAGTCCTCGTTTGTCACAGTTGCTAAAACAAAAGGGCATTACCAATCATTTGCCCCAGTCCGTCTTATGACGAGGCACTTAATGAAACTGGTATTCCGACCATTATTTCATATTGCGAGGACATATGTGACAAGGTGTTTAACGCTGCCCTCTGCAACAAGGATAACAAACTTAACAAGTTATTAACTGAAGCCAATAAGGCTCCATATTTACTAAGAAATCACCGATACTTTGCACTTCCAAAGTGGAAAACGGACCGTTTTAAGAACACTTTTATTTTGACATCGTGCCTAATTAAAGTACAATTAAATGATTCGGTTTGAATGCTTTTATATATTATATGCATGAATTTTTAATATATTTAATATTGATGTATGGTAAATTATTTTATTTTTAGCTTAGTTTTATTCGTAAACACACAATTTAGCCTCTGGCTGCCCACGTATTTATTTTTGAATAATGGGCGTTTGTTTCGCTTAAGTCCAGCAAACATGTAGCGGATTGGTCTCAGACCTAATAGTCCGCGCTTCCTCTAAACGATCGTCTAACTCTTTCCTGTTTGACTTTCTGTTTACGATTCACCGCAAACCAGCTGCCATTTCTACTTTGATATCGCGGCAATAGTTTCGAATAACTTACTTCCATTTGACTGACGAACTTTATCCTAATACAATTAAAGAATAATACAAGAATATTTTCAGCCCAAAATCGGCAGAGAAAAATAAGAATATTCAGCCATGTCTTTTAAACTGAAGCTATATAATACGACTTACATCGTATTAGCTGCTTTAATTATTAAGGAACAGATGATTTATTAAGTAACTAGGGTGCTGTATCTTTAGGCCGCCTCACACTCTTTAAGTCACCCGTGAACATGCAATTTATTAAAAAATGTGTTCATGGGTCCAGCAAATACTGTTGGATTGGTTTGCGACGTAAAAATTCCGTTTTCCTCTTAAGTCACGTCTCAGCTCGTTCTGTCTGACTGTATGTTTGAGATTCATGATTGAAAACCAACTGCCTTTTGCTTATTTAATATTGCATCAGTAGTTTCATATAACTTCCTTCCTTTTTAACTGACGAACTTCAACATTTATACGACCTATTGCGTTTCGCTCGAAAGAAAATTAATACTAATTATTGTGTGATGATGACGTTACATTTAAAGTTTTAATTCCGAGTTCAGACATGCAAAGTTTCAATTTCAAGCAAGGTGAGAGTTTGGATATTGTGAGCACGACTTAGGGACTTTTTTTACTAACTCAACAGTACTCAGTTAAAAACCAATTGCCATCGGAGGAGGACGTCTGGAGAATATTCAGTAAGTCTCGCAAAGAGTAATTTCCAGCGTCAGTCTCGTGCAAAAGAGAAAAAAATTGCAGAGTTCCTCAAAAGTACGGCAGCTGAAACTTAAGACTGTATATAACGCTCCATTCAATGGTGGAAGCTGAAGGTCAGTCTCATTCAAAAACGGATGAAACCTAGAAAGCAATGAAATTCTTTGCATATTATAGAAACTGAACACTGATTAGGGTTATGTAAAAAAAAAGATGGCAAGTGCTGAAGGCTTGCATTTGACACTTGTTTTCTTCAACGCTTTCTTGTCTTTCACCGCCATCGTATTAAACATCATAACCATGCAAGCGCTCAGAAAAACGTCGTCGTTGCCTAAGACTTTAAAAACATTGCTACTAAGCCTGGCTGTGTCTGATCTGGGTGTAGGCTTACTTGTCGAACCACTGTTTGTTGCATTTCTTGTGATAGAAAAAAACAGTACTGCTTATTCTACAGTAAAGTTAGCACGTTCAATCCCGGCAAAAATATTGGTCTTTGCTTCGCATTTTGGTGTTTTTGCATTAGCTGTGGACAGATTCTTGGCCATTCAGCTTCATCTCCGATATCAAGAGCTTGTGACCCACAAACGTGTTGTTGCTGTTGTGATCTCACTCTGGGTGTTTAGTGCATCAATTTCCTTCCGAAGCCCTCGTATTATGCGAGCGGTCATTGCACTTGTTTGAGTCATAACTACAGGATTGCTTTATTGCAAGATATACGCTTCCGTCAGACACCACACAAATCAGATTCACCGTGACGCTCTGCAAGTACAACAGGCGACACAGAATGAAGATATGGCAAATGCCGCAAGGCTGAAAAAATCTTCACTGGCTACATTCTACGTTTATTTCGTGTATTTAGTTTGCTATTTGCCATTGTATTGTGTTGTTTTTGCCCAGACCAATGGTGAAACTCCCTTGTTATCTCATTTATCTTATTTCACAAGGACTCTTGTGTATCTCAATTCATCCCTCAATCCCTTGATCTACTGCTGGAAGATGAGACACATTCGACAAACTGTTATGGATATACTTCGAAATATTTTCGTGATTTGTCCCCACTAAAGAAAGGATCTAACTGAGAATAACTTAATCGGCCTTTTTCTCTCTGAGTGGTGAAAATATTAGGTTTCCAGCAATACAATTGGAAAAATGACACTAAATATAAACGGGAACTGAAACCTTGTTGTACTCTCTGTTTGAAGGCCAAGGGATAAATATATGATCGAGTGAGTATAAGTTCATGAGATTTCAGTTTGCTTTGAAATAATTAACAAATAACGGGAAACTTTGAAAGTATTATTTATCAAAGTCAGAAAGAGGGCAAAAAGAAAAAGCTGGGTGGTTTAGGACGAATGACGAGTGACGTGATAAATAGAGGGCCGGGTTTCCAAATTTTCATGGGCAAAAAGTTCTGTGTACGTACAGTAAAGTGTCTTAAAAAGTTTACTAGATTTTGTTAACCATAGTGCATCCAATAAAGAAGACTAACTAAAGAGGAGAGAGATCAAAACTGTGTCAATAAATCTTCATGATACTGAATGTACCAAGAGTGGTGAAAAGATTGACCGATATAACAACAACAACAACAACAACAACAACACATAATAATAATTATTATTATAATAAAAATAATAAGAATAATACTAATAAGAATAATAATGATAAGAAGAACAACACAGCCTATATGTTGAGAGAGAAGAAATCTAGTAGTTTATACTGTTGAGAATATATATTACAATACTTGTAATTGATTCATAACAATAAAGTTCACGTGAAAAAGCTAAAATGTTTTGAAGAATGGTAAAAATATACCATTTAATCAGGGTTTTTTTTAATTTGTTGAGTCCAGAAATTACTGAATAAGATCACTACATTTGAAAGTTTCAGACTAGGAAAGAAAGAGCTTCCCTAACAGCGCAACCGATCAGAACAAATGATATAGCTTATGACATCATAATACTTTAAAATACCATAATACGGAACCTGAGAGCAGACATAATATGGCTCCAATATCAATCAAAGTGCTTCTTGCTCTGAGATTAAAAACTTAGAACCATATAATGTTTGACGAAACAATTAAGTACAAGGCCCAGGGTTGAACCTAAGTAAACAGTTTCCTCATGTCCCAGTTCAACGACTTGCAAGCAACTCTCGGTACGTGCGTTTACAATAACGTTAAAACTTTGTACGAGACCGTACTTAATGTTTCCGTAGGCATTTAGAACGAGCGAGTCCAAAAAAGTAATTATTGTAACCACTGATGTATAACAGAACAACAGCGATAACAACATGAAAATGAAAAAAAGAAAGATTAATGAATCCATCTTTTTAAAACAGTATTCTTATCTCAATATAGATTCGTTAATAAATGAAATGAAAAGAACTTAAACTTTTCTTTTGTTAATAAATGAAATATAAAGAATTTAAAGTTTCAGTGTTGTTTCTATTTATGTGCTTGTGGCTTCACTGGCCTCTACATCTACATCTACAAGGGTCCGTGCACACTTCGGTCAATCTAATTTTCTATTTTTCCAACAAAAACGGAAAAAGGAAATATTACTTATCGTTATCATATTTACATATTTTAAAGTACAGAAAAAAATAGAAAAAAAGAAAATGGTCAGGAAAATTGATCATTTTTTCGTTTTTCTAATTTTGAAGTCCGCTTCAAAAATTCAAAAAATACTGTAAACGGCTAAAGGCGATATTTTGCTATTTTTTATTTTCTTGCTATTGTTAGAAAATGAGAAAAATGAAATAATCTCCGATTCTTAACTCATTTTTCTATTTTTCCGTTTTTAGCAAAAAATAGAAAAACGGAAAAATGAAAAAATCATATTTATTCCCACCATTTTTTCATTTTTTCATTATTCCATTTTGTTCAAAAAATGAAAAAATAGAAAAATAGCATACCTATCGCCTAATTTTCCATAATCCCATTTTAACAAGAAAAATGAAAGTATGATAAGCGTTGCGAGCAATTTTGTCATTTTGTCATGGAAAATTAGGCGATAGGTATGCTATTTTTCTATTTTTTCATTTTTTGAACAAAATGGAAAAAATGAAAAAATGGTGGGAATAAATATGATTTTTTCATTTTTCCGTTTTTCTATTTTTTGCGAAAAACGGAAAAATAGAAAAATGAGTTAAGAATCGGAGATTATTTCATTTTTCTCATTTTCTAACAATAGCAAGAAAATAAAAAATATCGCCTTTAGCCGTTTACAGTATTTTTTGAATTTTTAAAGCGGACTTCAAAATTAGGAAAATGAAAAAATGATCAATTTTCCTGACCATTTTCTTTTTTTCTATTTTTTTCTGTACTTTTAAATATGTCAATATGATAACGATAAGTAATATTTCCTTTTTCCGTTTTTGTTGGAAAAATAGAAAATTAGATTGGCCGAAGTGTGCACGGACCGTATGACAACATCGTATATTTTCCACTATTCTTAAACTAAAATGTGTTTTCTCCTACACATTGTTTTCCTGTTCTTTGGTTACGAGCGCTCTTTCATAATCATGGAAGTTCCCCCACAATTTCTATTTCAAGGGAGGGAGGGAAGAAAAGTATGCTCTGGTCATTTAGCAACTTTTAACCGCAAAGAAAAACACAAGACATACACACTTCATACACACTGAAGTTTTTTTTCGGCCCACAATGTAACTTCTGGGTCAACTAGCTAAATGTGCCAGCCAATAAAGACAATAATTAAAGTCTAATGTTTTTACTACCTTCATTTAGAAAAGGCTATTCGAGTCAGGGAGGGGGCTGAGGCTAATTATTGTTACATCAGTTTTATCCAAAAAAACCATTTTACCACTTCCTTACGTGTATTTGTATAAGAAGACATTTTACAAGGAAATAAGCGAGTTTTTTTGTTTATTTGGTACGCATTAAATTGCTTGCAATGATATTGTTTTCGATACATTTTCAATAAAATGAAATTGAGAAATAGTTGATTGTCGTTTAAGGCATACATTGCGTTTTTGCAACATGATTACTCATCGAATTGCCACGTCGTGTTGGCTGGTGGCTACAATGGATATTTTAAACGCTCTGATCATTTGCTACTGATTAAACTTTGACACACAAGACAGCATGATTTGTTTAAGTAACTACCTACTGTGTCTTTGTTTAACACCCAAGCTAGTAAGTTTTTTTTCATGGATAATAATTTTCTTATCTAAACTCCTCCCTGTAACTAGTCGTAGATCGTTTTTATCAAAAGGTCTGTCTCATATTTTTTGCTTGGCCAGTAAATACATCGGATTGGTCTCCGATTTCTTTTTGTATGAATTTCTATTAGCGATTCATTGCGACCAGCTGTACGTTGTTAATACATTAATATTGCTTTAGTAGTTTCAATCTCTTCGTTTTTGATCATGACCGACGAAATTCATCACTTAGTACAAAGTTTGACCTATTCTCATTCGTATAAAAGCCGCCGCGTGACGATTTAATCAACTAGATTAGTGTGTGCTCCCCCGCGAAGCAGTCTATTGGTCCTTTACGGTCCCCAGGGAAATTCCCTAGGCCTTTTATACGCCCTAGCAAACAAATTCACCGTCTTCTCCCAAGTCTACTCTACAACGGGCAAGCAAGTTTCCCCACCCTCCTCCCCTTCAGCGGCGCTGGCAAATTTTCTCTATCAGCCCACCTTATGCCTTATGCAAAATTTTTCACCCATAACTTATCCATCAAAAGGTATAAGGTGGCTTTTATGCGAATGTGAATTAGTTACTATCGCGTTTCGGTTTAAATGAAAATATATTCAAATTACTGTGTGATGACGACTTTATAAATTATGAATTACGGGCTCTGTTTTAATGCTCTGCTCTTGTTTTAATTCCAAACAAGGGAATATTTCGGATGCTACGATTACAACTTTATGTGTCAATGAAGGGAGAAAGTATGGTCTTGTTTATTAAATGCGCATTAAATTGCAAGCAATGATGAACTTTCTTTATATTAACCTAAAAAGCTGGAGATAAATAAATATGATTCACGTTTTGATAGCTGCCTCGGATGAATTTAATACCACTATCCATTAAGTAAGTTAATAAAGCATAGTATATGGTCCTTGATTTCTTTCTTAATAAAATGAAATTGAAACATACTTCTCGAGTTGATTGTAGTTTAAGGCATATATTACTTTTTTGGAATATGATTACTCATTGAATTGCCTCCTGGTGTTGGCTGGTTTCATTAAGCTGAGACTCAGACAATGGGCCGGTGTTTTAGACGTTCTGATCGTTTGCAGCTGATCAAGTCTGACACATATATGACCGAATGATTTTTTAAGTAACTACCCACTGTATCTTTGTTTTAAAACCCCAGCTAGTAAGTTTTTTTATAGGTAATGTCTTAACTTTTTTTTGTCTGAACCCTCAGTCCTAAGACTCGTCGTAAGTCGTATTTAATTAAAACTTGGGCGTTTTTTATAGTTTTTACTTGAGTTCAGCAAACACGTTGGATTGGTGTCCGACCTAATAGTCAGCTTTTAACGCCTTCCAAACTAAAATGTGGTTTTCCAATTTGGAAAAATCCAGAACAGTATTGACCTTTGATACTGAAAAACTTTGTGTTTCTGAAAGGTTTTCGCTAATTAGAAGGAGAAAAAATAATAGTGTTCAGTTGTGTCCACAACTGGCGCGCACACAAGCGAGACTAACTACCTACTGTGCTGGTCTATGTTTTAAAAGCTTAGCTAGTAATTTTTTTTTCGGGGAACAAGTTCCTTCTTTCATGTCAAGAGACTCGTCGTTTGTCATAGTTACTAAAAAAACGTGCGTTTGTTTCACTTTAGTCCAGCAAACATGCAGGATTGGTCTCATACTTAATAGTCTGCATCATCCTCTAAACCATTGCTTAACTCTTTTCTGTTTGACTTTGTGTTTACGATTCACCACAAACCAGCTGCCATTTCTACTTTGATATTGCGCCAATAGTTTCGAATAACTCACTTCCATTTGACTGACGAACTTTATCCTGATACAATTAAAGAATTATAATACAAAAATATTTTCAGCCTAAAATCGGCAGAAAAAACATAATATTCAGCCTGTGTGTTTTAAACTGAAGAAACTGAAGCTATATAATACGACTTGCATCTTATTAGTTGCTCTAATTATTAAGGAACAGATGATTTATTAAGTGACTGGGGTGCTGTATCTTTAGGCTGCCTCACACTCTTTAAGTCACCCGTGAGCATGCAATTTATCAGAAAATGTGTTCATGGGTCCAGCAAATACTGTTGGATTGGTTTTCGACGTAAAAATTCCGTTTTCCTCTCAAGTCACCTCTCAGCTCGTTCTGTCTGACTGTATGTTTGCGATTCATGATTGAAAACCAACTGCCTTTTGCTTATTTAATATTGCATCAGTAGTTTCATATAACTTCCTTCCTTTTTAACTGACGAACTTCAACATTTATACGACCTATTGCGTTTCGCTTGAAAGAAAATTAATACTAATTACTGTGTGATGATAACGTTACATTTAAAGTTTCAACTCCGGGTTCAGACATGCAAAGTTTCAATTTCAAGCAAGGTGAGTGTTTGGATATTGTGAGCACGACTTAGGGACTTTTTTTACTAACTCCACAGTTCTCAGTTAAAAACCAATTGCCATCGGAAGAGGAAGTCTGGAGAATATTCAGTAAGTCTCGCAAAGAGTAATTTCCAGCGTCAGTCTCGTGCAAAAAAGAAAAAAATTGCAGAGTTCCTCAAAAGTATGGCTGCTGAAACTTAAGACTGTGTATAACGCTCCATTCAATGGTGGAAGCTGAAGGTCAGTCTCATTCAAAAACGGATGACAGCAATGAAATGTACGTATTATAGAAACTGAACGCTGATTAGGGCTATGTAAAAAAAAAAAAAAAAAAAAAAAAAAGATGGCAAGTGCTGAAGGCTTGAATTTGACATTTGTTTTCTTCAACGCTTTCTTCTCTTTCACCGCCATCGTATTAAACATCATTACCATGCAAGCGCTCAGAAAAACGTCGTCGTTGCCTAAGACTTTAAAAACATTGCTATTAAGCTTGGCTGTGTCTGATCTGGGTGTAGGCTTACTTGTCCATCCACTGTATGTTGCAACTCTTGTGATAGAAAAAAACAGTACTGCTTATTCTACAGTAGAGTTAGCGCGTTCAATCCATGCAAAAATATTGGTCTTTGCTTCGAATTTTGGTGTTTTTGCATTAGCTGTGGACAGATTCTTGGCCATTCAGCTTCATCTCAGATATCAGGAGCTTGTGACACACAAACGAGTTGTTGCTGTTGTGATCTCAGTCTGGGTGTTTAGTGCATCAATTTCCTATCCAAGTCATCCTATTATGCGAGCGGTCATTGTAGTTGTTTGTGTCACAACTACAGGATTGCTTTATTGCAAGATATACGCTTCCGTCAGACACCACACAAATCAGATTCACGCTCTGCAAGTGCAACAGGCGACACAGAATGAAGATATGGCAAATGGCGCAAGGCTGAAAAAATCTTCACTGGCTACATTCTACGTTTATTTCGTGTACTTAGTTTGCTATTTGCCACTTTTTTGTTATCTTTTTGCTAAGACCGTCAACGGTGAAACTCCCTTGTTATCTCATTTATTGTATTTCACAAGGACACTTGTGTATCTCAATTCATCCCTCAATCCCTTGATCTACTGCTGGAAGATGAGACACATTCGACAAACTGTTATGGATATACTTTG